CATTTGTCTATATCTATCTCGATTCGTTTTGGCTGTTACAAACAACCGTTATGTGAACAAAATTAATATACCCTTGTGCATAAAAAGGAGAAACGGTAACTTCATTGGTATTGCAACCTCTATGCACTCAGTGTGAGTGGCGCTGCCATGGAAGTTTTTCGTTTAGCATACCATCCTTGCACACTTTTTGATTGCCTTTACCTTACCGATTTTTGTTGTTTTTTCTTGTAAGACATACATATGTATGTATGTACGTTAGACTGCATCACTCCCCATACAAAAAAAAAATCGGTGGTGTTTTTCCACTGGAATTATAAAATCTATTATATTTTAAGACTTGCACCAAAATATTTCGGAAAAAAATTTAAAAAACTGTTTTTATTCATAAAAAACTGAACTTTGGAGGTATTTTTAAATTGGTCCAGCTCACGTAAATCTTAATATTTTTTTGAAATATCTTAGTGGAAGTCTTAAAATCTATATTTTTTAGTCCCGGCAGAAAACTGTAACTCTTTTTGGTGATGCAGTCTATTGTACATACTTATGTAGTTGTGGCACAGTTTGTGTAACGCCAAGCTTCAGAGCTGTTGCAAGCAAAAACGTAGCCATAATTTGCGAAAATAAGCATTTCAGATAGGTGAAAGCGTGCCAGGTATGTTGTTTGTGTGCGACGGACGGTTGTGGGCGCTTCTCTGGAGAGTTAGTTGAAATTGAAATACGTCCAAACATGAGTTGTGTTTAATGAGACCGAAAAAAGTGCAGAGCAGGTCAAGTTAGAGCAGAATCGAGCAGCTGTCAAAAAACAATAGAGCAATTTAGAGCAACTCAGATCAGGAATCTGATGAAACATTTTTAAAGCAGAAATTCTCAAAACAGCTGCTTGCTCTAAGTTACTCTATTAAAAAAGCTGGTTCAGAAAATCGTGCTCTAAGTTGCTCTAGTTCCACTCAGCGCAGGCTTATGAAACAAAAAGTAGCGTAAAAGCATAAACAGACAGCAACGTTGATCCGGATCAAGTGAAGAAAAACCTTGAATTATTATTGTTTTCATTTCAATATAATATAATATGCCTTTGGCTTTGAAATAAAGCAAATCCATTTAATCTACATATAATGTACTATTCAAGTTGATGACTATGCTGATGTTGAGAAAGGTCTGTTGCCTCCTCCAAAGCAAGTATAGATAGGGATATAACGAATTCAGAATTTCGATACTTTTTTTGAGTACTGAGTAGTATCGAGAACTCAATACTTTTTGACAATTACTGAGTAAATATCGCGAATACTAAAAATAATCGATTTTTAAGTAAACAAATTTTTAAAAATTATACATGGGATATTCTTCCTGAAAGTTACCCCCACCCTGCCCATTTTTCTTTTAAATATGAAAAACACAAGCTTTCCAATGCCCAGTGGCAAAATAACGTGAATGCCAATTTCAAGGTCATTTCGAGGTCAACATGATTTTTTTAACTCGAATTCAGAAAAACGGAAAATTCTACGTTCAGATTACATATGGGCATTCCCAAGGTGGCGCACGTGACAGTCGTACGATTTAAATGTGATACAAAAAAGGAATATAATGGCTATTGGTTTTGTAATACGCCTTGGTTGCCTTGTGGCTTATAGCTGTAAAAACGCTTACACTAACAATAATTACATTATCATAGCTTTACAGCATTCCGACACATTTTCTGCCTTCTTACTAGCTACATATATTTCTAATGCACATGACACTACTGTTTCGGACGCAATGAGACTCGGCACACACATACCGGAAGTGTGCATGCCACACTATGTATTCGTTCCACTTTTCCGCTTGTGCAGCAAGAGCCAAAGTGGTCAACAAAGCGGTATCCTGCTACACTTTCAGACAGCCACTACTTGGGCAGCTGAATGCATAGATATGTATGTATATACATACATTAGGGCGGGTCAATTTATATGGGAGATTTTTTTCGACTATGCCCGTATAGGATTCTACGTGTAAATAATTCTAAGCAATTTTGCCAAAGAAACAAGGGGTATTAAATCAATTTGTGGTTTGCCAAATTGCGAAAATAAGTTTCTTTGCTTTTTCTGTAAAGTCGCAAAGGCGTTCTAAAATTTTTTTGGTATGAGAAATCCATGCCTGCATTTATTTTTTCTTAAAGCTTGCACCAGAGGGCGCAACAGTGAAAATTTTCGCATTTTCTTCGAAACTTTTTCGCAATTTGGCAAGCTCCAAATTGGTTTTAGACCCATAGTTTCTTCGGCAAATTTGCCTAGAGTTACACGTATAATCCTCCCATGCTATACGCGCATAGTAAAAAAAATTGACTCGTTCTATCATAGATAAAGTGGTGGTCCACGTAATAAGAACACTTACATTTTCGCATTTACATCTCATCTACCTGATACAATTTTTTGTTATTTTTGTTTTAATAAAACTGATTCTATAATATAAACCACATATGTCAGACTCGCGAAAGTTCAGCAATGTAAAAAAAAAAAAATCCATAAAAATTTTCAACTTTTTATTCAGAATCTTTAGAAAATTTTCCAACTTTTTGCACATTATTAAACTAAAATTTTCCGGGCTGTAAAACTGCATACCCAAAAAGTTTCTAAAGATTCTGAACATTTTTAAAAATTGTAAAAGATGTAAAGTGATCTCATTACGTTGATCACCACTGCACACACTATGTAAATAATTTTGTCTGGTACGTAGAATGTGCATTTTTTTCAGTTTTTTTTTTCCTTTTAGTCGGGTATACGTCAACTCTGTTGGATTTCCTTTTCCTATGCTGCTTGCCAGCCACATAATCAAAAGATTTCACGTCTGACTTGCACATTATGGTAATTTATCAAGCGTTGTGCGCGAAAAAGCCAACTCGGCGTGTTCAAAGAGTCATGCATATACATACCTACTGGGTACAAATGCATAACTGCATACATAAATACATACATTTGCTCTTTGGAAAAAATTTAAACGTATTAAAAAATTTGTATTTTAAATTTTCAAACATTTCAAGAGGAGAGCAGTTTCCGTGACTTTATACCTAGGAAAATTTACGAATTTAAGTTTCTATGTTTTTGGAAAATTTCTAAATCCGGCTCAAAGGGCAAACACTCTAGATTGAGAAGTTTTCAGAAAAAAACTCTAGCTCACGATAATCTGCCCTACCTTACCGAATGACCCACATTTATTTCTGGGAAAGGACTGTCATCCCACAATTTTTTTGAAGTATTAACAATTTAGAGATCGATCCTAGCCAAATTTGTAACAGTAAAGAATCTTTGAAAATCAATGTTTTCCAAACGGCAAACTGTGTTTCGCTTAAGGAAACTTCAAGGAATAATACCCAATTGTTTATCTAAGAATTTCCTAATATTAACTACTTTTTATGGAAACCCCAAAAACCCCGAAAAAATGCAATGGAGAACCGATAAAAAAAATGTGTATTATTAAAAGGCGTAATAATAAGGAATTTATTATAAGAAGTCTCCTGAAGATAAACAGAGTTTTCCGATCGAAACATAATGACTTTCAAAGAAAACTTTGAGCGCTTTGGGCGCCCTGTATTTTTTTCTTTTAATAAAACATTCAATATAGAAAATTACTAGGGGCTGAGAACATTAAAATCCCGCTTTTACATTTCTGTAATACATTTTTGAACCGCTCTAATATACACACATGTGATGTAGTGGTGGAAGTGCGTACTACCATTGTGCAGGTCCCAGAATCGAGCCCAGTTTCAGATTAACATAAAAAACAAGATAATGGTAAACCGCCTTGAAAAAGCTTCTCATAAAAGCCAATCGGAGCGGAGGTGGCGTAAAATGTTAGGTCCTTCCATCTGTGTTTATAACATTAGGACGCGCACCAAAAATTGGAGAAGCTCGGTCAAAAACTTTGCAAAAGCGTAAGCTCCAAAATACTATACTATATATTACGAAGTATTAAAAGTGTCAAGTTATTTTTATATATGTATGTATGTATTTTCGTACAATCGAAAGTAGAGATAAGTGCTACGCGAGTTGAGTTTGCGAAAGCAGAAAAATTCTGCATAACTCAAGCAAGAGTAGTAACAATAAAAAGCGAACGGAAGATATTTATCAATTTATATACGTCTATGTTGCCGTAGCATGTGCCTTATTTAAAGTAACGAAATTTAGTGAAACATTTCTTTTTGTTTTACTTTATTTTCAGATCGTAACATCTACTAGAAAGCGATTCGTAGTGTATGCAAATTGTGGAAGATGAACACAATCGTTTTGGGGATTCGCACTTAATCGTCAGAGTTTCTAACGGATTTTCTTTTAATTGTCTCGCTGAAAATGTCCAAGCATTCCGATAATGACAACCTACGAAATGACATTTACGAAAATCTGCCCTGCCAGGCAATGTACAATGAAGCTGTTCGCAAAATACAACAACAGAAATCTTCCCAATCGACTACCAACGACACAGTCGCCGCAGCAGTGGCTAATAATCCACTGTCTCAACAACTTCTATTAAATAACATCAGCAATCAAAATGCTGCCAATTCCAATCCCAGTACAAACGCCACCAGTTTGACAAGCAACGCCAAGCAACGCCAACAGCCTTCGCCCTTATCCCTGCAGCAACAAACTAACAACAAACACTATGCAACCAATAATATGTCCAAAGAGATGCTCTACGCTACACCGCTACGCAAATCGGATCGTTTTAAAAGCGGTGAACGCATGCGCTTTAACAGTTCCGGCGCACGCCCACATTCAGGCGGTAACAATCATGACGCTCACGATACCAAGTTGTCCAACCTAATGGAATACAAACAACTCAATTCGAAAGATTTGTCCCGTTTGTGTAGCCGTAATGGCAACGCCATACCCGTTACCGATCTCGATGACGACATGGCTTTGGATGGCTGTTCGTCTAGTGCGCTGGTAGGCGGTTCACATTACTCGAATCAGCCTGCCTCGTTGCCACCTCTGCCCA